GTGATGAAGTGTTATTCATTTGATTTTGGGATTAGAACACTTCCTGTGTTATTTTAAATTAAATTAAATTCATTTTACCAAAGGAAAAATTAAACATATTTAAACACACAAGGCTTTTCTTGAACTTTCACGTTTCATGTCACATCCTTAATTCATCCACTAGGGGGTGCAAGAGTCGAGCAAAAGCCGAGAAGCTGCCCAGACTTGATGGATGAGGCTTTTCCTTTAATGAAGAATTCTTAATGAATTGATTTCAACACGCTGGCAGAGATGAATCATCGCAAAACCAGATAAGTGCATGTTCAATAAAAACCTTTAACTTCTGCTCTTCAGCTACAGTATGTCTGAATCTGTGCTGAAATCTGTCTTTGATGCTTTCACAAAGATGCATCAAAACACAGTGATAAAAGGTGGGAGTAGCTGCTCTAAATGCACAGCTCTTTGTCGGTTCTTTCACAATGCTCTGCTCATAGCAAAAGAAGGCATAGAAATACCTGGACCAAAAGGGAAACATATTTGGAAGATGTATAGATACGTCAGATTTTTGGCCGGAGGCCTTGCAGCTCTGTGTTTACCTGGACAGCATTTGTCAGTAAAAGTCACTGGGTCAGATAATTGAATGAAAAGAGACAGATGGCAGCAGCGTTTACTGCTGATTACATGGAAGCCGTAAAGTGCCTCTCAGTAGCTGGGGGTGTCGAGACCTGGCCTATTAAACTACCAGAGCCTGAATCTTTAGAGGGATGCAGTTGAAACCAGGACGAGTGAGCTGCTTTAAAAGACTACAGCGATACAGTCAAACAATGAGTTTATCTTGAAAATAATTCATTATTTATTTTTGTGAACTGGTTTGCAGGCTGCCAAAGCTGTTTCACAACCAAAAACAGAATCAGCTCCTTGAACATTTGGAKTTCGGATGAAGGGGGCAGCGGCTGTCACTCACAAAGAATAAAGTACAGTTTACACATCATCAGAGACCTTTGGGTTGTGAGATAATTGCAGAGTGGCTGTGTGTGCACAGAGCAGTCAATATAAATAGTATATGCTGATGCAGGGTCATGCGCAGAGTTCTGAAATGACAAGAGAAGCAGTGTTCCTGTGCAAACCTGCTTGGAAATRCAGAACAGACTAAAGGCTCATGGCCTTCTTTGAAGGAATGCATATCGCTTGGCACATTTCATCCAAGCTTTATTTAAATCAATCTATTGGTTCATAAGATACATACAGACACAAGCAAGTAATTATTTTGGCAGCTGGCGATATGACTATAGCAGCTGAAAAATGCTTTATTTACAAATGAGTGAGGTGTCAACATTGGAAAGACTTGYCCCTCCAGCCTTACACGTTGGAACCAGAGCCTGAGGACGACCAAATTGTTGGTAAATCCAGACYTTAAATGGCAGTTCTTTTGCAAATAATTTGTTGTAATAGTTGAAAAAACTGAACAGGTTGAAAAATATGACCCCAAAAGAATATAAAGATAATTACGCAGCACCAGGGGAAACTAAACTCAACTTTTCTGCACTTCCAGAGACTCCAAGTACACAACAAAATGTATTTAACAACTAAAAAAAATGTACTTTGTATAATATGTCCCCTTTAGTCATAGAACTGCTCACAGTAACCGGGATAGTAATRGTGAAAGTACTTTTACACACACACTTTAGGAAGTGTTGAATTTACTTAGCCAAGTAATGCCAACTGGTTCCACTAAACCACACWGTGTTTTCTTTTAAAGGAAAGATGTAAAGTGCTGTACATCTATTTACTGAACTCATTTTTTAACAGTGCATAAACAGCTCCTTTCAGGGTAAGATACRGACRTATTTAAATTTGGAGYGTGGAACTAGGTGTTSAATTTTAAWGAAGTAAAAGTGTMATTTTTATGTTTTGAATGTAACAAAATAAAAAGAAAAWTAATTAAAAGACTTAAAAGGAAAATAAAAGTAGAACCTCAAATAAAATGATGTAAGTGCTGTAACAATGTAAATGTATTGCTGTGTTAACTGCTGTAATATTTTATTAATTCTCGTCTACAAAGCTCTGAAGGCTTGTTCAATATGTAGAACACAACAAACATAAATCACTCAGAGCTTGCTGTTCACAGGTCTGTAGTAATCTGCTGATTCTGACTTTATTTCTGTGATTGACAGGTTCTTCTCTGCCTTCTCTCKCTCTCTCTCAGCCTGCTCACTGTTCATTTACATTTGTTTGATGTATTGCCTTCTCTGAGAAATGTGTGATATGTTTACTGATGTGTTTTTCTACTAACTCCACCAGGCAGAGAATCAATACTCCCATTACAGGTAGATTCCCCCTTCCTGACCTGTAGAATAGGGAGCATCAGTCAATATCTTTGTCAAAATGATCCCCAGCTCGTGTTCAGATAGTTAGTGAGGGCAGGATGTGAGGAAATAATCTGCAGCTTTGTGGCTCCAACAGGTCAACAACTAGAATTTTTTTATAGTTCTTTAGGAGAACCAGGTGATAAAATGTGTGATTAAATCCCTGACTGAGTTTCCTCTGTGTGTTTTTATTTTATGCGATAAAATAAATCTTTTAGTTTTCATTTGGGCTCCTTGTACTGGTCGGCAGGGACGATCCATGACAAATACTTTTCAAGAATTTAAAATCTTAGTTCTGTACAGTATTCAAGTAAAGGCCAAATTTTGTTGTCCAGGAAATTACTCAAGTAAGACTGATCAGAACATCTGATTTAATACTTTAAAATGATGTCATCAGACTGAAAAAACATAGAAAGTTATGTAGAAGACACATTTTTCCAAGTCTAATTTTTCTTATTAAGAAACTTGTGAATTTATACTTATAGCATGTAATGTCAAGTAATTCATCTACTGTTTACTTTCAATTCAGCAGATAGAAAATATCATTGGAACAACAAAGCTTATGTACAAACAGGAGGTCTCTCTTCAACATAAACTGGATGTTTGTCTCTCTGGCATAGGCGTAATTTGAGGGAGGGTTAGGGGGTTTATGAYCCCCACAATAATTTGATCCAGTCAATATAAGCCCCCCAATAAAATGTCATCATTTGCTCAAACGCGAAAGAAATGAACTGGTTAAATAGACACATGCAATTCTCCTTGTCTTTAGATAACGTTGACCTGATTAAAAATTTACGATGTGTACGTTTAAGCATAATTGCTGAAAATGACATGCAGGGTTTTATAACATGACCCCCCCCCCCCCCCCACCCCCAGTGCTAGACATAAAGTTATGCCCTTACTCTCTGGTGCATTTCTGATTAAAACATGTTTGTTCTTCAGTGAAGTAACTTATAGTGGGTAGAGTATTCAGAAACAGTAAGAGTAGTGATACTTCATAATATTACTCAAGTAAAATAAAAGTACAATGAAGTAAAACTACTCCTATAAGTACATTTTCTTCCAAAAAAGTTACTCAAGTAAATGTAACTGAGTCACTTTCCACCTCTGGTTCTGAGTAAATTCCAGTTTGTGACTCATTAAAAACGTAGTTTTTACAGTAAAAAAAAAAAGATGGAGTAATATTTTATAGTCCAAAACAAAAACCCGAGTAGTTTTCAGCTTGAAATAATCAAAGAGGAAGCAGACTTTTTTTTTTCAATTAGAACTGAATGAGTCAGAGTCCAGAGATCCTCCAACTCCATCACATTTAAAGGTTTACTTTTACTCGCGCTGCATTCTGACTCAACTGCATCGACAGGACAGTAAACTGAGCACAATTACCTGTCTGCAGGGAGAGAGTCGGCCTGGATCAGCATCATCGATTTTTCCCACTGGATGCTGTTCGTCCAAAATGAAGACCGTCCACAAATCACAGCCTCTGCCCTCTGAGATCAAGTTTAATGCCATCTGGGCTCCCATTCGCTATCAATCACAACCATTAAACTCCCTTCTTCACCATCTTGGGTGCATTAATGAAGACAGGCCACCCATTTGCTTTGTGTTACCTGAGTCATTTGGTCCAAATACAAGACTTTTATTCAAATGTAACGACGTTGGTTGGTTTGTCGCTCATTAATAGATGGTGGGGTATTGTGCACAAATGAAGTTTTTGAGCTTTATATCGTGTTATAATGTCATTCCCTCGTCTAAAAGAAAGTTTTACTCTGATGCATTCATGCATGTTTGAGAAATCCTTGACCTTACCTCTGGTAACCATGTGGAGCTGCTTGCTGGTACAAAGCTCCGCCTATTTGTACAAAGCTCCTCCCTGGAGCTCAGTGTGCAGCCGAGCTTCTGCCCTACAGAGCACCCCTCCCCAGAAGCTCTGTTGTGAAGACGTGCTGAAGTGGGAGTGTCAGAAACTGTAGGAGGTTCTTAAAGAGACAGAGACCATTAGATAAACTATGATGCAAAGTCAATTTTAGTTACAACTGAAGTAAACAGTTACTTGATTGTGGTGTTAACTGAACTATTAGCCTGAATAAATAAATAACATCTCCCCTTTAAGATCATCTTCTGCTCGTCTCCTTTCACCCAGCTGGCCTCACAGTAATGATGATTAACACTGTGTAAAAAGGAAACGAGCAAACATCCAGAGGAGGCGGTGCTCTTGAATAAATATTTGTAGTTCTTGTTTGGACGGTGTTTTTTCTCTCACACACGTAGAAAACAGGCCGTTTTATTGACCTTGTGTTTGCATCTGCTGCTGCTGCTTCTGCTGTGTGGTTAAATGCACACAAACCCGGACATGATGRACATCACAGCATTAATCTTTATGCATTTCTCATTTATTATTCATTAGTAGTAGGACCTTTGATGAACCATTTGCATTATGTGACGGCAGATAGTGTTGGCCTGAGGATGCGAAGCAGGTCGCCCACCGCCCTTGCTGAGTGTTGAGAAATGATGAAGTTATGCCAAGCATTTTTCTAAATCTCATGCAAAATTGTTAGAACTTGTGTGATTTTGCTTTTGAGTATGTGTTGTAAATGACTCTCAGCTACTACCACACATAATCTGAGCTTTTCATCTTTAAAACTGGCTGAGTTAGAATAATTTCTTTTGTTTGTATTTTGTTTGCTACAGTTGTCAATCAGCGGTGGCCATCTTAAAAGGGATATATCATGCAAAATGTACTCTTTTAGCCATAAAATACATTTTGTTGTGTACTTGGAGTCTCTAGGAGTGCAGAAAAGTTTAATTTTGACTCTCTCAGTGCTACATAGATATCTTGATTTTCTGTTTGGATCATATTTTTCAACCTGTTCAGTTTTCTACATTTTGCATGACGTCCTCTGAACTATTACGCCAAATTATTTGCAACAGAATTCAGACCAAATTGTTGCAGTTCCACTTTATATAGACCCAAGCTGAAGGATTCAAATGGGAAAAATAAAGATTTAAAAGCATGAAATATCTACTTTAAATGGGATTTATTCCAAAAGTCAGTCAGTTGTAGATGCTCATCTAATAATTACTTTCTAAGAGTTTTCTTCCTGTCTGTCCACTGGTTCATGACATATTTACACACACAAACACACACACACATGCAGTAAACGTGTCACCATGTTTGCRTTTCATCATCAAAGCATTCTTCCTTGCAGTTCTGTTTAAGGATTGGAGCAGCTTCTACGCTCTGGTGGAGCCTCTTTCCAAACTGCGAGCAGAGATTGGCTCAGAGCTGTGCCACTCAGACAGCAAATACTCTCTGACTTCCTCCGTCCTCGCTTCCTAGTGCTGGCTGAGAGGAGGGAGGGGAATGGATCTCTTTCTGTGTGAGACGCCGGCACCACCTCACCCTGCTCCTCCCCACCACCTGCCCTTGACTGGGCGAGACACGGGGGAAGCTGCCCTGCTCTCTCCTCCTCTGCTCCACCCTTCCTGCCTGTCTTCATGTGTGCATCTGCAGTCCTGCTGAAACCTGACTGCTTCCCTCTACCTGTGGTGCTTCAGAGGAGCAGTGAGGAGGGGAACCTTGGTCCTCGGCCGGTGGAGCTCTGATGGGAGGCGGCGTCGACTCTGGCTGGGACTGGGGATGCTGAACGGGGGGAGGGAGGGCCTGTTTGAGCTGGGACAGCAGCTCCAGCAGCAGGGGGAGTACCAAGCCGCCCTCCACTGCTTCCTCAGCTGCCTGCTGGGACTGACCCATGTGCAAAGCTTCACCTCTCTGCCTAACTGCCTACATCAGGTGAGTCAGATGACTGGAGCACACTYACACTAACAAACCTTCCTTTTCTCTTTTGTGACTTCAAAGAATTTACAGCATTGTATGTTTGCAAATCTGCAGAAACGTTTGCATCGCTTCATCTGAGTGTTATCACACATCCCAGCAGAAAGGACACATTTAACCTTGATGTGTCTGACACCAATGTCAGCTCTGACAGCACAGTCCATCACCAGCCTCGGTGTCGACACTAGAAGATGATTTCTGTCCCACCAGGACTGAAGTTGTGCTTGCTGCTAAATGAGGTGTTGGACGCAGCAGCAATACAGAGCGGTTAGAGGAGCTGGGGTGTTTTTAAAGTTAGGAGTTGTGTTTTGCCCCTACAGGGCAAACTTTTACTGGGAGGCTTTACAAGGACCTCCTGTGGTACAACAACACTTTTAATTCCCTGTAGTARTGCGTGAAGGAATGTGCCTGATGTCAAAACACTGTCTTTGCTGCAGAACTTTACAACATGCAGGATGATGTTGACCAGACCTTCAGTGCTCCAGTCAGAGCAGTGTTGCACGTTTTAATGTGGACATGTTGGAAATGATTATCTCAATCTTATCTGTCGGTTGTTTTGTTTTGTTTTGATTTTCTCTTTTACAGATTGCAGAGCTCTTCATCACCGAAAAGAACTGTATCCTTTAAATTAAAAAAAAAATTTTTTTTTTGCAAAAATACCATGTGAATGCTCACTTCTGAATGTTGTTGCTGACATTTAATTAAAACTGAAATGATTTGTAAAGCTAAATGAAGCACTAACTAAAAGCTAAAAGAAAGCTAAATGCTATCTGAAAACCGAAAGTAGCATAATGCTAGCTAAAAGCTAAATGCAACAAAATGTATTGACATACATTTTGTGCAAAAAAAATCATTAAAAGCTAAAAGTAGTTTGAGGATAGCTAAAATCTGAAAGTAGCAAAAGAATAGCTAAAGGCTAAAAGTAGCAACAGGCTAGGTAAAAGAAACAAAATTCTTCCTAAAAACACCAAAAGGCTAGCTAAAAGCTAAAGTGGCAAAAGTCTATCTTCAAGTAGCAAAAGGCTAGATAAAAGCTAAAAGTAGCATAACAATAGCTAAAAACTAAAAGCATTTTAAGGCAAGAAAAATAGAGCTGATACTGTATGCAAAACAAATTTTTGTTTGTAAAATTGAATTGATTTATGTAGAAAATATTTGTAAATAAAGTGAAATTAAAAGTATAAAACTCTGTCTGAATTCAAATTAAAAGCCCCAGCACCCACCGCCTAGATGAGCTGAACGTTTTGTTATATGAATAGCTAAAATACCTTCAAGTACGCAGTAGTTAAATTGCAAAAATCACTCCATGAAAATAAAAACAGGAAAACAACAATGCTGACTCATCATTCACAAAAAAATCAATTTTAACATATTTCCAATCCTCTCATTCAAGTTGGTCCTCACTGTAAAAATCTACCTCATGACTCTGTGAGGTGAACATAAAGGATCAACCGTGGAAGTAGGCGTAGCAAATTCCAGCACAAAGGAGGATGTAGACCATAAATAGGAAGCAATGTAAACAAAAGGGGCACGAGCAGATGTCTGAGTAACAATACCACATTTGTCCCAGGATGCCATATGTTTTGTGTGTCACTCTGAAGGTGTGTTTGTCTCTTAAGAGGATTTGTGAGCTCTTATCTCTGTACAACAGAGCAGGAGAGCACTAATTAACCTGTATCTGTGCTGAGTAGCCCATGTATCCCCACTTCACCTCCATAAACCATAGCCGTACAGGACAAAGAGATAATAGAAAGGTGTCATATTTCAGGATATATTACCTTCCACAGCTCCTCTCCTTGTTACTGAGACACTCCAGTACTTAGACTGGCCAGCTCAGGTTATCCACCTCTCACTGTCCATTTACCAAAATACTATGGAGCTTCACTCCATCGGCAGCCATGCACTGCAGTCTCTGTGCTTGAGGTACAGCAACAGAGTTGTGTTTTGACATACTGCTCTGAGCTACTGTGATTATTAATAATAATGAATTGTCTCAAATTATTATTTTTTATGTACAGTCGAAATATGATATTTTAGTTAGAGCAACCATAACACTGAGAGACACTGGGGAATACAGTTAATATTCCAAGAAATGTTAGGAGTTATTGAAGCTGTGATGAAAARTGTGTTTGTTTTTAGCTGTTATCAGTTACTCCGGTCATTTAGTAATGTTGCATCAGTCCTCTAGGGAGAGAGGTGAAAGGTCAGTCTGCTCAAAGTGGCAACAGAATGTGGGAACTTTGGAGTTTCACACAAATATTATACAAGAGCAGAGATAACAGCAAGTTTTACGCAGACCACAGCTACACCATCAGTGAAAAACAAAAGGCAAATTTAAAGATTTAAAGCACTCCGGATGCTTCTTCAGTCCGAATATTTTACCCATAATTGGATGTTGACGATGATGATGGCCACTTAAAAATTTGATGTGTTGCTCTTAGAGCTGACAGCGTCTATAAGTGACCTTTATCCATCACTAAAAGCTCTTTTGGCTGCTGATATGAGACTCTTAGAAAAAAATAATGACTTACTGCTAAAGGCAAAATGTAATAAATATGCAAAGGCTCATATTCTGTTTACATGTTTTTTAAGTGGGCCTGAAATAGCAAAATATTTTAAACTACCATGGTAGTGTCACTTTACTTATTTGTTTATACAGTCAGGGTGGGCCTGTGGCTTAGGCAGTGTAGGCAAATTCCACGGGCACTGTCCATCTTAGSGGGCACCACAAATGAGAGATGAAAAAATATTTTATAACTTTTTTATCAGAGTATAGTTAACTTAGTCTKTAGAATAATCACTGGTTACTCAKGTTTATGAAGATAACTTGTTCTGTGGGTTTCTCAGCAGTTTTGATTCAACATGAAGTGTTATAAGGTGAAGAGAATACTTCATGATAAAGGTATCATTTGATGCGGTCAAGACTGGTGCTTAGTGTGCAGATAGAAAACAAAAATAATGAAAGTTTTAGTTATCTCACATAAAGTTCAGGATTTTACTATTCTGCCTTCATAAAATACTGCTTTTATGTTGTTTTTTAATCCCAAAAATTTTGTAAAATACTCTTAAAATGGCTGGAAAATGCATAGCTTTGAGTAGGTATTTTATGTAATMCCCCTGAATCCCCCTAGAACTGCTTCACTCCACAGCTGCTTGTTAACATGAACAAGTGTTCCTCATTGCTTCTGGTAGTCTGTTTCAAATTAATTATATTGTTAACGACTTTAATTGGTCACCCTGGTTTTGGCAGCGAGATTTAGAAAATTGCACAAGGGGCACCACCTGAATTCTTGCCTAGAATGCTAAATTGTCTAGCACCGGCCCTGTACATGATTCTTGTTTTGCCCATGTCTATTCATTAGCAAAATATCTCATGAACCACTGGACTGGTTTGTTGAAAATCTTTATCTTTATTGAAAGTAATCCTAGAATTTACCCCTACCACTGATAAGTTTGTGAAGTCACCTTATTTCAAGAAGGCTTGCACAAGCAATACGCATATCCTCAAGAAATTCTAGGCCTTTACTTTATAATTGCATGTTGATCCAAGAGGTCAGACAATTCTGCTTCCGCTAGACTTCAGGGTCTGTTGGCACGTTGTTCCCAGGAGGAGGTGATTGTGCGAGGATTCCTGTTGTGATTCAGGTGAGTTAAAAATAGCGGGTAAACGTGCTCTGACCGTTGGTGGCAACTGCTCCCCCTAATTCCCCCTCCCAGGTGGCCCACCTCATATTTGCCCCCACTCCCAGCTGCCAGGTTAGCTTCCAGGAGCTGGGGGCAGGTAATATCTGCAGCTCCAATCATCCTGAAATAGAAAGTGAGGATTGTTGGAAATGTTCGAGCAAAACATACAAGAATAATGTTTTCACTTATAATTCCTCTTCATCTTTACATCTTTCTTATTTTTGCTTTCTTTTTTAGTGATTTTATTCCATTTCTTAGAAGTAAAAAAACTATTTCATATCTTGTTGACTTTTGTCATAAGTTTATAGTTTAGGTGTCACTGAAGTGAGTCTGCGGTGGAAATATTGCTCATGAGGAATCTGATGATAAGTAGGACATTTCAACAGGGACTGCTGTGTTTATTTTAAGCACTCACTGTCCCATTGGCCATTAAACTCACCTGACAAGCATCAGCGGTGTCTTTTTACAATGACAAGAACTCTTAGAGCTCAGGATGCTTATACAAAGGGAGTTATTTTAGGAGGCTTTAAATAGAATCCTTTTCATGGAATCAAAACTCTACTATTTATCCTTATCAAAGGAAGTTGAAAGATTGGAAACACAAATATGATCAGGCTGAGGAGTGATAGAATACGTCTCGAGTAAGTTGTGAGATCTGATGTCTCACAAAGTAGAAGCAAGGCTGCAAAGTCCTGACTTCCAGGTCAACAACATGCTTTGGATTACTCCACATTCTGTTTGGCCTGAAGGGCTTTTCTAAAGTGGGATGGAAAAAGAAACAAATAGAAACGTGAGGGCTGTTTTTAACTTCCACAACTGACTAATCCTGCTGACAACTGCGACTGAGCCTTCACCTATATAAACAGATGGGAAGGCCCTCCAGTTCATCCAAGCTGAAAAGATGTTCTACGAAGTGGCGCTGATCGAACTCACAGCTCTYCAGGGAAGCACAGGCAAGTCTATTTCCTTTTTTTTAATCAAACTRAAAAAAGTGGAACCACAAATTTGGGACTTTATTTTAGATTAAAACAAAAAAAGGTAAATAAATCTCACAARTTTGAGGTTTTAAATTCCACTGGGACCTAATATCGTCTAGCTTCACATATATCTGTGCGCAGGAGTTCTCAGGCAGGTTTCTGCTTCAGACGTCGGCCTGCTCTCTGCTGAGGCAGCAGCGTAGCGTAGCAGGAGCACAGCASAGGAGATCAGGGACAGACGGAGCAGAAGACAAATGGCTACATCTTCTCATTAAGATCTGTGCTTTTGCTACCAAATAGTGAAGCACCTGATTCAGCACTGACTCAGGTTGAACGCTGAGCTTTCTCCTGGGGGCAGAGATGGCAGCTCTGCCCATGAGCAATGACTTCTCTGTGTATTTCATCTCTGACACCTGACATATTTATCTTTTTTTTTGTGGAATATTAATATGAACCAGAGCCTGCTCTGCAGATTTATATGCACTCACTTCGGATATTGATTACAAACCAAACTCATTTCCTCCACTGCTGCCGGATGTGTTTGGGAAGCTCGATGTGTGCTCTTTGTTCTGTTTGTCGCTTTGTGAGTCTCTGCGCTCGGCAGGCGTGTTGAGTGTGTTGTCTGGCTCCCTTTATCTGCTCCCTCCTGCCCTTATCTTTGCTCTCTTGTCTCCRAGCCTCAGCTGGCTTCTTGTCATTGCTCAGGCTTCAAGTTCGGAGCCATGTCAGACAAGCTGATAGCCTGATACTTAGAGTTTTGGTAAATATATCTTTCGGGGAAGAGTGCTGAGGGAGGCTGAGGATAGGCTGTGCTTCACTCGTGAGCTGACAGAGCGTCCATGCCCTGCGTCTCTGTAACAGGACCTCAGGAGGAGGCCAGTCTGGGCTCCGCAGGATGGACGACCCCAGAGGAACTTTCAGAGCAGGCGTCCCAAGCGCAGCACCTGGAACGGCTGGCTCAGCTCTGCATCATGAGCAAACAGTAGGTAAAACCCTGAAGCTGAAGTTCAAACAAACAGCTCAGCAGTGCTCATGATTGCAAACTATATAATTTCATGAATACACACTTATATGTTGTAATTGTATGCAAATTTGTTTTTGCTGCTTTTTTATTTTTTCCATCTTTATTTTAAAATGAATTTAGCTTTGTGAATGTTTTTCTTTTAAGCCAGAGTTTTCTTTGCCCATGTGAAGAAAACAGATACTGTACACCAGATCCTGTGTCTCCTGTTGCAGCAGTACTTTGTTCAGGCTGTAGCATGCACGCATGCATGTGTCTCTGTTGTCATCGGTGAGATTAGGCCATTTAACCTGATTGCCAAAGAGAGTGACAGAGGGTGGAAAGTTTGTTTGGTCACTTAATTAATGCAAAGAGCATACAGTGGTTAAACTTAAATGAGGTGCCTCTGATCAGGCGTGTTTGTACAGAGAGGCTCGGGTTTCCAGCTACATGAGGATAAAYTTGCTTTTGCTCTTTGATCTTTTTTTGCTTTGGAAATGCAAAACCCCACTGTTAATTTTCTAGCAACATAATTACAAATTGAACACAAACTCAYGCTTGATTTGTTAAAGCAGTAGTGCAGTTTTTTTTTAACAGAACAAAAAGCTCATTTTACAGCCAAATGTTCTCCAAGAGGCAGAACTGGTAATTATCCAAAARCCATTAAGTTTGTTTTTGGGTTTTAGCAAAATTGCAATCAGTTATTTTTAACTGAGAGGAACTTTTTTCTATGTCTTTCATTTAGAATTAATAAAAAATATAAGAGATTATTTTTTAATTGAGTATAGCAGCTGAAATGGTTTAGTTAAATTGTATTTTTTTCATCATGGAAAAAAATCTTTTTTTTAGAGGTTACAAGCTAATAATTTTAAGTCATGTGTTTTATACACAATAATATCAAAATGTTTTTGTTTTAAGTCTATCCGTCCTAATTTACTGTTTTATTTTTTGTATATATTGCTATTTTTACATCTTTTCTTTCAAATACACTCCTCTGTTTTCTATCTTTTGTTGTGTTAAGCTAAATCACTTTGTAATCTTATTTAATTGCTAGATAGGGATGATTTTATGATTTAAACAAAAGTAAATCTCAAACAAACGAAAAAGTAATACTTTTGAAACAGGTAGCTCTTAGAACGATCTCTGTTTAGAGAAATAAAAAAAAGATTAGTTGTGACCTAAATGATAAGCTAACAGGTAATCTAAGCAAGGGTTACAGTTTTTCTAAGCAACTCCTATCTCAACTATTTCTCAGCACTTTGTGCTAAATGCTGTTTCATAGACTTTAATGCTGACATCAGTTTCATGATTCTTCCAGCAGAAAATCCTCAGGCTGCAATGGAAGTGCTAAAGCTTTAAGTTTACTAATAATCACAGAATTAAATGACCATTCATGTGAAATTAATGACGATGTAAATTTTCTTTAAACGTTTATATGAACAACTGGGAAACTTTTGACACTGGAGATGTTTTAAGAGAACAATATTCCACTTTGGGTTTTGCCCCACTCAGGCTCCAGCTTATCAGTCAGAACTAATCTCTTTTCTCCAAGCTCAGGTCATTCAAACAGCTATCTACAACAGGTATATTAGGTTTTCCGAACTCAAAATCTCTTTTCAAGAAGTCTAGACAATGATTAGGTAGACAAATATTACCTCAGATTGTTCTATCTTCTGACCAGAAGTTACAACTCCTCCTAAATGTCCTTATTTTTCTTGCTGATTTGTCCTCCAAGAAAGATCTTCTAAAGGTTAGCGAATCGACACCTGGCTATTACTAATTGGAGCGAAGTGCGTGTGTGGAACAGTGAAGCTGACATCTGTCACACTTTGCGGAGCTTGCTCTACAGCTCCCGGCACATGCGAGGGTGTGAGGATGATGAATGTCCTTGGCTGGCCTTTCGGGGCAGATATGAGCGGAACAGCTGGCAGTCCTTCAATGAAACCCATCAAATTCACCTAGCTTAGCACTAAACAAAAGAGCAGCAGAGAGGCATGGGACAGTAAACCAGCCTGTAAGCGCCATCCCTAAATTCACCCTGAAGGACAGGCGGCGGTCGCGCTGGCAGAAAATACAGATTTCCACTTCCTCCGTCAGGCGCCTGCAGGCCCTGCTGTCTGTGTCCAAGCACAGCACGCACGTTCCAAACAATGACACTGATATGGTTACCTGGCAGTCGAGCACTGGCATTATACACCAACATTTAGGTCAGGCGTTCTCTTTGTGTTCGTGTTTTTCAAATGAATGAGAAAGTTTCTAACGATGCCCTTTCCTCTTTTCTCAGACCTCATCTCGCCCTAGAATACAGCGGTAAGGTATGTTTGTGATTCCATCACTGCTTTTCCTTCCTTCTGCAGATTTTAGAGCAAATTTGTTTGTGTAAATTCACAAAGGTCTGTGTTGTTTAGGCAACAAAAATCCACCAAAGGGCCTTTGGTAATGACCATCCATTTACAGCCAGAAGCCTGGAGCTGATGGCAACTGTCTATGCTGAGATCGGCAAGACTGAATATTCAGGTAAACACTGRATGAAACAACCTGTCAATCATGTATGACCCGTGAAAAACAAACAAAATGTGTCATTTACTAAACCACACCCATCAACCGTGCAGAACARGTTTCTGCTTTAGAAAGCACAAGTGATGAAAAACATTTAATTACTTGCTAAACTCTTAAAAATCTTAAATTAATAAACAGTCTCAAACGTGCTGGACACAGAAGTACAGTGGTTTTATGCAGAGCAAAGAGTAAAAAAAAGTGGCTTTGTGACAGTTTGAGGCCACAGCTATGGTCTGCTTGGCTTGCACTTCCAGAGAACAACACTCACTCCTGAACACTGCATTTTTTTTTTACTTGTGAGGATTGCTGCGCTGGAAAAAGAAAAAGCAATACGTAAAAAGCAGCCATGTTGTCGAGTCAGCTTTCAGAGGCAGTGGAGCAGAACACGAGTAGCAGCTACGTACCCTGTACCGCAGTAAAGATAACTAAAAGGATCTAACGCAGGAAAAAAAATAAAACTTCACAACACGCAATCGTGTTCTCCTCAGGAGGCCTTTACACTGTTTCGTAAAACACTCAAAGTCAAGTGCATAAAAAGCAATTGAATTTGTAGCCGCAGTAGTTTGTGTGTATTTATTGTACACTTTAACTTTATTTTGTACACAGCAGACTCTCCTTTGACCTAAAGTGAGATGCTTTCACCATCAAGTGGCTCACTGTGCCTCCCTCGACTATTTGTGTGCAAAAGGCAAACTTAACTAAAGGTTAAATGTTGTGATTGAACCTGCAGCTAAACATTAGTAAGATTTTAAAACTTATTTGACTCCCTAAATGTGTGAGCTTTGATTTCTAGTTACTTTGTTCTCATTTTAAACTGTCTAATGAACAAAAAAGGACTGAAAATAACAAGATCCAATCACCATCAAATTCAACCTGATGTCCAAATAAAAAAAAACTGGGGTTAGACAATGAAACTGAAACACCTGTCATTTTAATGTGGGAGGTTTCATGGTTAAATTGGACCAGCCTAGTGGTCAGTCTTCATTTATTGCACATTGCACCAGTAAGAGCAGAGTGTGAAGGGTCAATTAACAGGTTAAGAGCACAGTTTTGTTCAAAATATTGCAATGCACACAACATTATGGGTGAAATACCAGAGTTCAAAAGAGGACAAATTGTTGGTGCACGTCTTGCTGGAGCTTCTGTGACCAAGACAGCAAGTCTTTGTGATGTATCAAGAGCCACGGTATCCAGGGTAATGTCAGCATACCACCAAGAAGGACGAACCACATCCAACAGGATTAACTGTGGACGCAAGAGGAAGCTGTCTGAAAGGGATGTTATGGTCTAAAACCAGGTGTTTCAGTTTCATTGTCTCTAACCCCTGTATTCTCAGCTAAAATTTAGCAATATACCAACTCAAAAGTATACTTGGCATCTGTACAAAGCATGAATTGTTCACTTAAGTAGCAAAACAAAATAACTATCTGCAAAAATCACTCAAGCTAAAATGTATTTTCTAATTTAATTCAGAAGACAGCACTTTATTTTGTTTGTTTCACCCGTTCCTTCAGAACTCTAAATAAAATGTCTTCAGTTTTAACAGTCAAATTGCCTACAACAAAGAMTTGTTGACTCCCACAGAGTCTTCCTCCTAAAGGCTTTTCAACAGATCACTTCAGACAGGCTCCACTCATAAAGACTCAACTCATATCTTTCACCTGCTCTAAAAATAGTCTATAAACTTTGTACATATGACCTGTGGGTCTGGATGTTGCTTTTAGGAACATTCTGTTTTACAGTATACAGTGTAGCTAAAAAAAAGAAAAAAAAACACATTTTAGTCAAGAAAAGACAGGTATGAATTGGGAGGACTTACTTTAAAAGTCTCAATCTTAAATTGGGCCGATAAGAATCATATGTGCTGTTCTGTAAATGTTTAAATCAATGTTGGGGGGGTATAAAAACATAAAAACATAGAAATACATACAGTTGTATACTGTGGAGGACCAGATCTGACATAATTAGAAATAAAAGCAGAAATAGGAGCAGGATCTATGCAGATCAACTGTGCTGCTTCAGTTTAGCTTAAATTTAGTTTAAAACAGGGACAYGGGTAAGAGTTTTTCCTCTTTGCCTTTGTTTTRAGCTAAACTTTAAAGTTTAAGCTAAACTGTGGCAGTACAAGCATGCACAGTAGATCTGCACTTGAATCCTGCTCCTTSCTGTGTGTTGACCAACAGGAGAGGAGCTGATCCAAGAAGGACCGCCCACCTCATTTGCATAACGAGGCAGAAGTGCATAAGGAAAAGTAAACACAGGAAACAGAGAAATGTAAAAGCAACACATGGAATTAAAGACTTGTGGGAAAAATTATAATAAAACATAATTAAAGATAATCATTTAAGAGACACAAGTAAAAGAGAAATATATATATATATATAATCTTTAAAAACAGTAAATTTTAAATTATGTGGTAAAATATGTAATTTATTGGAGCTAAGAAATAATTATGAAGGTCAGTTAAATTATAAAGCATGAGGTAAAATTCTGTTTTTTAATTTATTTAATTGGTGCATTTTAAGTGTATTTATTGGTCCCTTCATATAGTTCTGCTTTTTTTCTAATTGTGTCAGTTTTGGTCCTCCACAGTATACCAGTTCTGTCTGGGGAAAAAAAGGCTTTATTTCACCCAGCAGCRTTTCTGTTTCTGAAACAAAACTGTSAAAGAGCTGAGTTTGTTTGTAAGGCTGAGCAGACTGGCAGCAGTACAGAAGCTGTTGTTTATAGACTCAAGGTCTTTGTCATTTCCTTTTCAGGTGTATACAATATATACTTAGCACAAAAAGTAAGGAAATTTGTGTTTAGTGATTATTTTTCTTTATAAATCTTATATCTTTGGAAAGCCTGTTAATTACCCTTTTAAATGGTGCCACATTTGTAAGGAACATGCCTCTGTGGGATGAGCAGTAGAGCTGAGGATGTGGGTTGCACATGTGAAAAATTTACCATATCTTCGCTATACCAAAGAGTTTATGCATTTATGTTTTGAGTTGGTATCCCCAATCATATTTATTGCCAAGAAACATTGTTACAACAAATAAATAATCGATCAAACACAATTTTACTTATTTTTTTGTGCCAAGTATAATTAAAACACTAAAAACTAACATCATAGGACAGAGGAAAGGGTTAATGCCCTGTTTTCTTGTCCTCGGCCCATTTGCATGTTCCTCATTGTGTTTATCTTGAGCTCATTACCTGACCCGACTTCAGACTCTGAAGCAGCTCTGTGTGATCATGGTTGTTCTGCTAGACTCTCTGGGCCAGTGTGTGTCTGCGCTGTCCAAACGCTTCACTGCTGCAGAGTCCCTTCGAGACGCAACCGTCAACTGTCTTCCTCCTTCCCACCGGGACAAACACTCAGAGGTGCACCACAGAAAGGACACACACCACCAACTAGAGGACGCGCTGAAACCCAAGGTTAGAGCCCAGCACCTGCTGCGTTTGTGTGGCTGTTAGCAAAATATTTCATGAATCAATTGTCATATTTTGACAAAACTCTTCAAAAGTAATCTTTTGCTGTACATTAACAACTGATTGCTTTTGAAGTCAGTCCACATAAAGATGGCTGCTGGAGCTAATCAATGTTAGCAAACAYATTAATGATTATAAATCCTTTATTTTTACAGATGTTGAGCTCAAATTTGATGTGGTGGTAATTGAAAGTCATCSTGTCATCTCACAATGTCACATGAGATTTTTTAGATTTGACCAAAGCCGCTACAACTCAACTACAAAACAACTGTCTAAAACTCTGGCATGCATTTCTTTAAAAAAAATGCTAGGCCTTTAATTCTAGATGTGAAGGGGCTTGTTTGTATGAGATCTGTACATTCTTGCTGTTTGAAATGTTCTCCACAGCTTGTGAGTCATTTCCTCAAACTTTACTCAAAGGTAACCAGTGGCATCGTCCCTACCTCCATTCTAAAGAGGCCAGGTCCCAACTATGGGTCCCACACGGAACTGAACCACAGGCGGAAAGGCGAGCGGAGGGTTCGATTCAGAGAGCCAGAGACCACTGTACATGGTAAGAAAACAGACAGGTTTGCAAAGGATGAACGTTTTGTGTCTGAACCATCATGTGATGGATATGGTTTGAAAATCGCAGTAAAAAGTAAACACAGGGATTWAATTAGAGAATCAGCTTTTTCCGCAAAAACGCAGCATGAATGCTTATGGCTGAAAGAGTTTTGGAAAAAAAAGAGAAAATAAAAAATGTACAAAAATAGTAATTTGTTGTAAAATAGCCAAAAAAAAGCTGAAATTAGCAGAAAGAGCATTTTTGCTGAATTAAAATGTAGGTAGCTGAAATTATCACAAAAAGGTGAACATAGCTGAAAAAGCTCAAGTTAGCTAAAAATAGCTTTAAAAGGTAGCTTAAATAGCAGAAAACGCTGAAAGAAGCATAAAAATTCTAAATTGGCAGAAAGAAGCTGATAGAGGAACAAAAAAGTTAATTAGCAAAATAGCTGAAAAGAGCAAAAAGTTGAAAAGGCACGAAAAAGAAGCCGAATGAAGCTAAAAAGCAGAACCAGAAGAAAGGATGAAAAGGGCAGGAAAGGTTTCATAAGTTTGAAGTAAGGATGTTGATGACAGCTCCATTCAGCTGAAAGTTTTATATTTAAATTGTTGAAATGGCTCAAAAATTGCAAAATGAGATAAGTGCCGAAAAACTTATGAAAGAAAAAAAATGAGAAAAAGTTGGTGAACGAATCAAGTCCAAACACAAAACAAAGGGATTTACTGTAATAAGCTTGCAAACAAGAAGTGAGGGAGCTGCTGTCCCAAATTTAGACTCATGGCCTTTTCTCTGTTGGCTTCACAGATATTTCTTACTGTGAGTGTTTAGATGGTAAGTCTGTTTTAAAATGATCACCTTGTTAATGTGCACCAACTTGTCTGCACTGACTGCAAAACAAATGTGTAGTGTCTAACTTTTGGAAAAGCATCAATGAAAAGGATTTAGTCCTGCACTGTGGAGTAATCCCCTTCACTCCCTTTTCAACATTGTTTGACACATTTAGGTCATGACATGTGTGACAAAGCTGTAAATATAAAGTATTTAATGTCACAAAGTCTTAAAGCTTGTCTCAGTTGGATCCAAGGGAAAGTAGAGTTTTTTTTGTCTCCGACAATTCAAATACTAATCATTTACAAACCAAAACCCATTAATGAACGTTCTCATCTTCCAGCCTATGAGACGACACCGTCCCGCCCCCACCTGGCTCTCTTCACCTGCCTCTTCCTGCTGATGTCATTCCTGGGTGTAGCCATGTATTGCACGGACCGCCGGCGCCCGCAGAGAGCGTGCGAGGAGCTGGAGGCCGCCCTGGCTGTCTACCTGCTGCACATGAAGCAGCTTCTGTGGGGCTGCTGGATATGGCTGACCATGCAGTGACTGTGACAACACACCCGTGGAGACATGGAGCGTCCTTTCTGTTTTTATTCCTCTTCTTTATTATTATTATCTTAGACGGTGCCTGGGCCTACAAACACCTCAGCCATTTTTTTCTCCCCCCAAGACTCTATTTACCGTGTGGTGTTGCACTACTCCCACGTTCAAAAAGAGACATCTGTCATCCCTGATTATGTAACTTCCATGTATATATGTAGAATGATATGACAAATGCCACCTTCTATTTAAGTTTTGATGACATTTTGCACTTTTGCAGGCTCAGTGCTCACATAACCACCTGATATTTTTTCAGTTTGTGTCACAGTCTTTAGCCTGTGCSTGGGTGTTTCCAAGGAAGGCAGATTTTTATTCTGTTACAGTACATAAATTAATGCATAACAGTCATTACAGAGAAATGAATGTGTATATACATATATATATGGGCTCAATATATTAAGGACTATCAGTATTTAGGCTTGTAATTGCACATAAATGAATGTAAAGATGTTTATTTCATTGGCAATGTGCACATCTGAAAGGAAGACTATGGCTACATTCACACTGCAGGCAAATGCCACTCAAATCAGATATTTTTGCCCCCATGTGACCCAGTCTGAAAATGACAAATTAGATTTTTACGAATCCAATCCAGGCCTTCAGTATTTGGTTTTAAATTGAATACATATCTAATGATTTCAGAAATATATAATAGTACAGTTAGTATTGAACCGTATTGATRCTAAAGTCACTGGATCAATTCTTTAGTTTGTTCTGTCTGCTGGGAGTAAAACGATGTCTCGATCCAAAAATAAAATGCTGCGCCGGAGTAGCCGGCAACAGGAAGGTTCAAATGTAGACGGTGAACTAAAACATGTCACATTATTATTAAATCTGCTCTGATTGCACAACTTCAGAATCGACATGMTAACATGTTGCATCCTTCTGTTAGCACTGAACAGTGAGRTGAGTGTGACATAACATCTGATGGTGGTGGCATGTAAAATATAAACTTCCAAGCAATTTTTTTTCAAAAAATCAGAATTGAGCATTAAAACCTGCAATGTGGACGTAAACTAAGACGGCTGAGAAAGTGAGCACAGGGCTACATCACTTCACGGTGCAGGGCTGAACAACTTAAAGGGTGCTTTTGAAATGATGTTCTGTCAAATACTGAGTACTTTACCAGTCTTTACATCAGGAGTATGGAGAAAATAAGAGCAGAAGTTTTTATTTTAGGGCTAATGGCTAGTTAATCAAGGGCCTGTTGTTTATCATTTTCAGGTCTACAAAACAGCTCTTTCTCAAAAAAGACATACTGCTGTAAAATAAGTTTTATCTATTGATTTGGCAGAACATTACTTCAAAAACAACCAGACTCTTTAAAGGTGAAAAAGACATTTCAGAACTGTCTGCTTGGATCCAAAAGGAAAAAGCCTTCAGCACAATATTATCCTCAAAGACTGACCGAATGCTTTTAGCAGTCTTCATATCGGCTCAAACCACCTAAAATCCCTTTATCTTATTACATGTTCTTCATTCTTCTATGTCTGAATAATCTAAATTTAAGTTTAAAAGTTTAAGTTTTATGTTGCCTGTACAATTTCTACTGAAGCGGAAAAATAAATCAGGTTTTAGATTTGTTTTTGAGGCCAAAAAATGGGGGAAATATAACAGGACCAGATGTTGAATTTATTGTATGTATGAGTCCCTTTATAAGATGAAGCAAATAAAATGAAAACAGCCAAACTACCACACAGATGGAGCCCGACGGGGCACAGCGATGCACATCTGACATACCTCTCATTAAGAGCAATAACACACATGACACAGTTTTCCATCAGAGCAGCAGCAGGTTTCAGGGAACTCCAAAGTGTTTGATTGTAGAGATCTCACATTTGAATTTCAAAGCAATAYAAGTTTAATAAAGGCCTGAACAGAGGAACCATAGATAACTCTGTACTGTCAATCAAAATGGTCATTAGCAATAAAAACAACTCCTAGTAAACTGATGTCCTGTATGTGAACACTTTTCACTGCTGTCCAAACATTTATGGTCACTTTGGAAGAAGTGCCTTTATGGAAGGTTGTTTATTTATTTTATTTTTAGTTCTAGTTTTTATGATTTCTGTGGATTTTAATAAAACTGTCATTGCCTATCAAAGTCAAGCCTGTTCTCCTTCTGACAATATAATGTAACAAAGAGATGCATGCATACAGATCTGTATGTCACAGCAGCAGAATATATTTGTAGCCTATAAGGAAGAAGCCTGAGCCACTATAATGTACATAATGTTGTTGTTTTTTTTATCTCACTCTAAATGCTAAAAGCTTTTTTGGACTAGCTGTGGAATACATTAATGTTCCGAGCTGCAATCTGTCACTTTTATAAAGCACCTTTTGTAGCAGTTGCGTGCTGCAAAGGCACACCTTGTTCTACTTTGCTCCAGCATGCAAATCATTTTCACTCCACCAAGAAGATGCATCATTTTTTCTGTTCAGTCGTAAGCCTTCCTTCCCTGCAGGAGCACATTTCTTTGTGTAGGAGATAAAATAACACCTCTTAACATCGAAAAGCCCACTCGCTAATTTGGCATGCGTTAAGTTCATGCTAAGGAGAAAATATGACTCATTTGCCATCATTAAAGGGATAGTCTGGTCATTTCTAAACTCATGCAGAAGTCTTCATCCAGGCTAGGCTAAAGGCTAGCCAAACAAGGGCCTGTTGTTGATCAGTTTCAGGTTTATAAAACAACACTTTTGTTTGGGTGGAAAGCTTTAATCTTAGCTAATATAGCGCTCTTTCACATCAGTKTATCGTTTTTGAGAAAGAGCCGTTGTAGAAATCTGAAAAACTACAAAAAAAAATGGCATAAGCCTAGCCTGGATGAAGACTTTTGCCTTGTTTATCAACACTTATAAGTTACTAAAAATAAAAAATGATTTGATAAAATATTTTTTTTAAAAAGACAAGACTATCTGTTTAACACTGTGTGGCTAAATACTAGGAATTTAAGAAAAACTCAACTCTATTTAGTAAAAGTTGGGGTTGTGTATTATGTTGGTGGGATGCACACTTAGCAGGTTTCACTATCAGCAGATCTTCAGTTATACTGTATCTRTAGAAAAGTGCTAAAATCATCCAACTGATGAGATCCACGGGGTGGGGGGTAAATTAAAAATGGAAGCAGAAGCAAAACTGAAAACTGGATTTGATTTGTCTCCAYGGGCAAGCATCAGTGTTTGTCATCATGGCAGGCAGGACTGCGGGGCTGAGTCGGACTGAGTGAAGACAGGTTCTAGATCAGGCCCGGGTCGGAGCCGCGGCGCGAGGAGCGGCTAAGCAGCAGCTCTTTTTCATGGATCAGGGAGTCCAGCATGTCCTCTTGTCTGTAGTTGTGGTAGACCTTCAGGAAGGCCAACACTGTGATCCCAAGCCAGCTGAGCCACGCAGCCCACAGACCGAACTGAAACAGGAAATTGCCAAGTTACAAAGTGAGACTTTTTTAAAAACACTCTGGACAATGATGGAAAAGTAGAGGTATCTGCAGTACATAGAGTTTCTTTTTGTGTGGGAGGAGTTTGTCCTAATCATGATTGGTGAAGTTCTAGGTGTGGGCGGAGTTTTGTCCTAATCATGATTGGTGGACTTCTTGGTGTGGGCGGAGTTTGTCCTAATCACGATAGGTGGACTTCTTGGTGTGGGCGGAGTTTGTCCTAATCACGATTGGTGGACTTCTTGGTGTGGGCGGAGTTTTGTTCTAATCATGATTGGTGAAGTTCTAGGTGTGGATGGAGTTTTGTCCTAATCATGATTGGTGAAGTTCTAGGTGTGGGCGGAGTTTCATCCTAATCATGACTGGAGGACTTCTTGGTGTGGGCGGAGTTTTGTTCTAATCATGATTGGTGAAGTTCTAGGTGTGGATGGAGTTTTGTCCTAATCATGATTGGTGAAGTTCTAGGTGTGGGCGGAGTTTTGTCCTAATCATGACTGGAGGACTTCTTGGTGTGGGCGGAGTTTTGTCCTAATCATGATTGGTGAAGTTCTAGGTGTGGGCGGAGTTTCATCCTAACCTTAAATGGCGCGGATGCTGTGTGGGCATAGTTTATCCTAATCATAACTGATAGAGTTCGGAGTATAGGCAGAGGTTGGGTGTGGGCGGAGTTTGTCAAAACCATGATTGGTCGAATCATCTTGTCTTGTGGGGCAACTTCTACTTCATGTGGGAAGCACCTCCCTGTCTCAAGTTATGACTAATACTAAGACATATTCATATTGCGATCTTTTTACAGGCTGGTTAGGGATGTTTTGATCGAGCTGAATTGTTAAACGTCTTTCCACATGTACGACTTTCAACTTTYGTGCAACTAGCACCTTCCTGTCTCGAGTTCTGACTGAAATAACATTTATGTTTAAAAATATAGGTGCTTCCTGACCGTTTCTATGAAGCTACCCACAGCTGCTTCAAACTCCACACAAAATCAATCCTATCGATCACGTCTTTAACAAACTATGTCCAGAAAAGTGAAACAAACCAAKCATGTTTTGGACAAACWCCTCCCACAAGAAATGCCCACTTGGTGCCTGCAGAGATCCCCCTTCTCACAATGGTGCCAACACCTTTACCTGAGCTATCGCAAACTGGTCATAGAACGCAGAGTTGTCCAGGTTCAGTTCTAGATCCGTGTCCTGGAGTTCTTCRCAGCTGAACAGGAAACAGCAACATTTAGGATTTTTATACATTTGAAAAATCATTTCCAACCTCCTCAACATCGCACCTGTTTGGCATGGTCCCGCCCTCGGTGATGGCATCACACCACAGGTTGAAGCCCACGCTGACGATGGTGCTGGACAGGAAGATGGTGAACATCACCAGGGAGCTGATCATCAGGTTGAGGAAGGCATTAAAAAACGAGCTGTGGGGACAAAGTAAGCAAATAAATGCATATAATTAGAAATGAAAACTGATTGATGCTTCATAATAGCTGAGGCCTATAAAAGTAAAACATATTTTCCACTTGATTTAGCTTTTAYTTTTGATCATGTCTTCCAGATAAAAAAAAACAAAGGTTGTCAAATTTTGTGAAGGTTTAACACCAAACAGCTGATTGCTGATCTGTCTCTTATATTTACAGTGAATCATGAAGATCAAGGTCTCTGCTGCAGATAAATACACGACTATAGTATGAACCTGACAAATGCCTGCAGACAGAAACGTTTTGCAGCAAACCGAGATGCATCCTGCGCCATGTTAGGTTTTTTATTGATTTTCTCCTGCAGCTGTGCTGAAGGGGAACATGCAGGCTGCCACTTACTCATCGTGTCCTTTGCACAAGAAGAACAGCAGCCTCCACGCCTGCACTGCGGACAAGACAAGAGACGCTATCCCGACGAAAGTGGTGAAGCTGCAGCAGGACTCGGGACCCCACTCCTCCACGAYGAAGCGCTGCTTGGACACGGTGATGTTCTCGTTCTGCCACATCCCGCGCGTGAACAGCAGGCATCGCCCCCCGAAGTCCTCCGTGTTCTCCGACAGCGGCACCACGGCGATGAAGCCGAACACGAAGGCGAGGAAGTACAGGATGCACTGGGCGAAGATCAAATTGTCAAGGGCCATTTTTCTGTCTGTCAGCTCGTCTCCCTGCGTCCGGGAGAAACTGCGGCTGTGCAGCAGAGGCAGGGACGAGCGGAAGCGCAGCATCCGAGGGCGCGCGGCGCTGCAGAGGAGTGAGCGGGCAGAGGCCTTCAGGGCTCTCCATCTCCACATCCAATCCGTGGAGACGCTGCTAACCAGTGGAGCTCACATCAGCAGCACTTCTCATTTATTACAGCAGGTCTAAGTGGCGCTGTGGGAAGTGACACCCACACATCTGTGGGTTTTTAGCCCTGCTATAGCAAGACAACAACAACAACAACAACAACAACAACAAATAACAACAACAACAATAATAATAATAATGAGACAATTGTGATTTTATGATCATATAATTTATAATTTTGCTGCCCCATCCTACCTCAGCCACACATTTACATAAATTGTCTGTTAGCAAAATATCCCAAGGCACAACATGAAATTGAAATTCAATTTCATGAAGTATTTTTTTTTTTACTTCTCAGTAAATCATGCATACACATCTAATTCACTCAAGATGGCCACCACAGCTGAGCAACAATAGCAAACACAAGAAGGAACATAAGTCACTTCATTTTTCAGATATGGAACTAAAATCTGGTGTAGTCGCTGAGAGTCATCCCAAATACATATTTCAAGCATGAGCAGATCTTGAGCAATCATCTTTAAGAGCTTTGACATGCAAGGCACCAACTGATATTCTTTCAATGAAYGCAGTGATTAAAGTCAATTTTAGAGAATAACTGCTCTCATTAATTAAGTATAAAAAATAGAAGGCCAATCAATGGGGATTCACTTACATTAGAGTTTTTTAAATGATAACAACAGAATAAAACTCTGGATATTCTGTTCTTGTAGTTTGGATGTCAAGATTATCAAAGCCATCTGCCCCCACTCTCTTCTAAAGGAGTTCCTTTATCAGACACATCCACCCATTACTTGCTTTTACTAAGGGAAGCTAAGTCCAGCACTGTCTGTGCAGAGGATGGGGTAGGCCTACACCCTGGACAGATTCAAGTCCATCACAGGGACACGAGTCTGTATCTACACACTGAGCTTTAAGTCCTTGATTTATAAAAAAAAAAAAAAAAAAACTTTAACTTAAAGCATTAATAAAAATCTTTTCCAAAATTATGCAGAAGAGACTTGAAGTGGGTTCACATAAATGTAATCCAATGCTGACAGAATAGGCAGGTCTGTGACGTCATCTATCAATGAGCCCATCTGGTGAACTGGCACACACAAAAAAAAAAAAACTGACCAACACAGTTTCTGTGCTGCTCACAGCGCCCCCTAGTGGGCAAACYATCTCTTTCCATGCTGGGCCAAAGCACAGCTGCTTTCTGTTATGATAAACAACCTGGATGTAAAGCTTCTTGATATTAAGAAATATGTCGATAAAACGTATTTTTGTTTCAGGAATAAATCATATAAAAAAGGAAACCATATTTTAGGGAATACTCAGCGTAGCTGAGGGATTATTAATAGTCCTGTTGTTTATATTTAATGCAACACAAAGACGAGAGGTTTCCACACTTCAGGAAGTAATTTGTATCCATCATACAAACWGTGGTATTTTGTATCATCTCCCTGCCTCGTGATTTACTGAATGTGTCAGGTTACTGCACCACAGTGCTCTGATTTCCATGATGGTATCAGCTATCAGATTAGCGTGAGTTATGTTTGTGTGTGAGGGTGCAGGAAAGATTTCTGCATGTCAGAGAGAGCTACAAGGTAACTGTGTTCTTTTCAAAATTACTGTTACGATGCAGGTTATCTGAGCATTTTAATGCCTGCTGCAGAAAAGCAACTTGCACAAAGTAGTTATTTATCTGCAACTTTTGGGGCCAACTCAATTCAAGATGACATCAAACATGAAGGTGGCCAGAGAAATGAACCTCAGTTCTGATGAGCCCTGAGACCGACGCCAGTATCAGAACTCTGCTCTAACTGCAAAGTCAAAGGCTTGACAAATTCAAAAAGGCGTGTTCTTTCAAGAGAAACTTACATGAGCAGAAGTCAAAAGGCACCTTTTAAATAATACAGCATGTGGACTTGTGAAGTGGGCCCCCAGGGGACACCCAGAGCAGAAATGTGTGTTACGTTTTTCACCTCTTGGACCAGGAGAGGGCTGAAGGAGGACGCTAACCCAAATGCATTCCCTAAGCTCTGAGCAAACATGGAGTGGGATGGGCATAAAAAAAAGCACTGGGAGGTCATCCATTTTTTATGGGATGGTATGGCAGCAAAGCAAACATTTTTAAGTGCAGGGAAGTCAGTGCGGAATGTACAAAACAAAAACAATAGATTTAATGAACATAAAAGTTTAAAAAATACCCCTTTTTATCTGCATCACTTTCGTGTCTTCATGTTGTTTTTACTCGATGGACTTCTTTTCTCTGCCTGCAACACAAAACAACAAAATCAGACACAATTACAGCCTCATATCCTGGGTAGTGATGTGAAAGACCTGGTGAAATATCCTGTACCCATTAATCTTTCCCCAGAGGGGGACAGGAGACTGGAAGCACTGGGCCAACCACTGATTAAATGCTCCTAATAGAGGCCATTCATCTCCTCTTGAATCTTGAGCGTTTGCAGCATCGCACCAAGTTTCTCTGCTACATTTTGTGTAAATATTGCAATTTTTCATGAAGCCAGTAGTTTTTATGTTTGGATTTTTATTATCAGTTGTGATTTTTTTTATGTGTTCTCAGTATCCCATTCATACCTGCTCCCATAATAGGTACAAACAGCTCCAAACTGGTCATAAAAGGGATTAAAACTAAACAAAGRTCTCAGACATCACATGAGCAAACCCATTCATGCTGCAAATTTCTTTTGGAAAAATGACATCATCCMGGGCAGAGAGCTCAAAAGCGATGATGTTGATGCTGGAGGACAGAAGAAAGGGGGGTGGTGGGGTGGGGATGAAGGGGAGTAAAGAGGCCACCTGCTGGGTTATGATGAAGAAAATCCTCAGAGACCAAAAATGAGATCATCTCAGCATGCAGCAGTTAAGTGGAGCAACAGTGACCCCTGTTGGCCAATTTGTTTTTTGTCTCGTTGTGATTAAACACAACCTCATTGCAGAAGTACAGTAAGTGTGATGAMATCCTTCTGTAGTGAGTATGATGACATCATTCTTTACACTGAGTGTGATATCATTTTATACAGTGAGTGTGATGACATTCTGTACAGTGAATTTGATGACATTCTGTACAATGAGTATGACATTCTTTACACCGAGTGTGATGACATAATTTTGTAGTATGATGACATCATTTTATACAGTGAGTATGATGACATCATTCTTTACAATGAGTGTGATTACATCATTTTATACAGGGAGTGTGATGACATTCTGCAAAGAGTTTGGTGATATCGTTCTGTACAATGAGTATGATGACTTCATTCTTTACAGTGCTAGTGTGATGACATCATTTGTACAGTGAATGTGATGACATCATTCTGTACAGTGAGTGTGATGACATCGTACTGTGTGATGACATCATTCTGTACCTGCTTGTCATCACTTTGCTTTGCAGTGAAAGCCATGATATCAAACTGACTATGGCTGAATGAGAGGAAAGGATATCCTATTATCTGTCAAGTAAAAAAAAACAAGTGTCATAAATAAAACAGTGTTGAGGTTGTTGAGTTTTTTTTTTTTTACTAAAAGATCACACGCAGGAATAATTCCCTAAAAACATGGATTAACAAACAATCCTCCTTTAATTTTATGCAACTTTTCTCTACTCTTAAATCTTTGACCTGTCGTGTTGACAAGGAGGGRGTCATAGATCCCCAAGGCCCACTGGTGATCAGCACAACCTGGCAGATGGAGGGAGGTGCTATACCCACCATGCATACAGTGGAAGGGTAAAAATGTGGGTTTCATGGATGAATGAGCATGGCTGAAGGAACCAACCTGACACTGCCTCCTGCTCAGATTCCTCACAGCTGTCAAACCAAAAAAACCACCCCTTTTCTATTAAGTCACGTCTGGACAGAACAAACTACTTGTTAGTAACCATTTGAAATCTGCATCTCTCTCTCTCTCTCTCTCTCTCTCTCTCTCTCTCTCTCTC